AACAATACAGAGCCGGCATGAAATATGGATTGTATGTGGGAGCGTGGAAAGCGAAAAACTCTGCAATGGAGGTCATGGCAAAGCAATGAGGCTGGTTGTAGAGTTTTAAAACAGCTTTGAATAGTAAGTCTGAATTGTGGTAGCAACACTTGTGAAGAATGTACCCTACACCTGGGAGTTAAACTGGGATTTAAGGGAGCCTTGATTCTCGGGGATTGGCAGGTGTGTGTGGGTGGTGGCAGCAATTATACGGCTGAGGATTACGTTTTATAAATGGTATATGTCAAGACATTAATGATCTCCTTTATTCTGGTACTGAACATGGAAAAATAATTGGTGACTGCTTCCGTCATTTTCCACAGTTCTAACTTTCGGGGGTATTTACTATTTAGGAGAAGTTTGGTTTGGTGTTATCATTGATGGCAAAGTTTCCTACTTTTGGTCACGAATTTTAAGTTGTTGCTCCGATGAACTTTGTGAGGCAGTTAGACTATATTCTGCCAGGAACTCTGGGAAGTGACTTCTGGCAAGTTGATAATGTCCCATGTTGGTTTGATAAACAACTTCTATTGCTATTATTGGGATTTCATCACTAACTGTCCAATACCATGTTCTTTCCTTGGCTGCGCAGCTTTCCAACAAACTTGACCGGTTGGGAAAACAGGCACCCTGAGGAAGCCCGAATGTACAGCTAGTTTTTCTAATGGGATGCTAATGTGTTCTTTATTACTCGGGACAACGGTTGTGGATATACATTTGCTCTATTTCCTTCACTTCATTGCTTTGGAAACTGTGAGCATATGACCTAGCCTGCCTGAATGAGTGAATCATTAGTAAACAGCTTGACATTTTAAATGTATCATCCAGTTGTGTCAAAATAAATGTTTTTCAGTTCCAAAAAAAAGCAGAAGTGACTGTTTTGAAGATTAGTGTGTGTGTGTGCCCCGCATGCTTCATTTAAATCACACAGCATATGTAAAGAGTTAAACATGACATATTGTCATCCACTTCACACTTGAGGTGCTTAGCAACAGATATGATCGCCTCAAAGGTATGTTCCACAGCAGCATGTGAATCCCAAGGCCGAAAAAAACACAAAGCTCCCTCACCACTGCCATTCATGACATAAGCTCTTAGATACTTTTCCCTGAAACTGCAAGAGACCAAACAACTGTGATATCCTCATTCATCAGACCCGAGAAATACAACTTTTGGGCCCCCCTGAGTCACAGATAAGTGCATCCTGATACCTTGTTTTGCTGTGAGCAAACAGAATCAGTCACCCAATCTGCTCTTGTATCAACGGAATCGTAGTAGTTTTTATGACAAATTCAACCCCACTGTGGGAATATGAACACATTTGAAATGGGAAAGGGAGAGCTCTGACTCCAGAAGCTAAATTACAGTGTTTACAGTATAAGTGCCTTTTTGTACCTTCAGTGTATTGTTCCTGAAAAAGTCCTGTTCTAATTTAAAAACTGTCAACCTAAAATAGGTCAAATCAATAGATATCAAAGTGTGTTTTATTCAGCCCATGTAGTCACGCCTATTGGATAGACTACCAATACATTTGTGACACATATATCTCAGGAAAATGGAAAAAGGAAAAAATCTAGTTAATAACTAAATATATTCAAAAATTGGATTTAAAACCAAATACCTAAAAAGTTGTACTCTATTTGTATCTTGGGCTATTTATATGCTGAACTAATATGTGGGAACAAAGTTAAACGTTATACTTGCTTAACAGCCTTCTAACATTGCCATTGTGAGCATGTTAGCATGCTATCATTAGCCTTTAGCTCAAAAAAACAATGTACCAAAGTACACTAGACCATTTAACGGAAACATAATAGGTTGATAAGATATATTATTTTGGTGTGCTTTGCCTTGCGTTTTATTATTTCTAGTTTTACCTGTATGTACAATTGCATTTTAATTAATTCCTAATGTCTTAATTCGACCTAATTAAAATTACTCATGACATTGTTAATTATAAAAAACAACAAGATAAGAAAGTGATTAATGTACTCCCATTCTGGAATCAGTGTTGTGATCTAACGTTAATAAATGTCCTCTGTTCAGTGTTTCTCAGACAGACAGACAGACAGACAGACAGACAGACACACACACACACACACACACTGTTTAGTGCAACACACACATATATCCCCCAGTGTAATACTTTACTCTGCATAGTTTCCTTTAAAGCGTTGTCCATATTTCTCAATACTCAATATTGCCTTCATTAAGCTGGTTGAAGTTACCTTGGTTGCTGATTGGCTAATGGTTGCACAACCCAAAAGAAATATTGTGACATCACAAAGGGACCAAAATCTGATCAGCTCATTTTCCGACGGAGATGGATCAGGACAAAAAGAGAGGGGGTCTTTGTTCCGGAGACTTTCACTCGTGTTTTTGTAGAAAATACATGAAGAAGTGGATTTTAAATAATAAGGGACCTTTAAATCTTGGAGCAATCCAAATAAAGAGTTATATTGATGTTCAATCTCCCACTTGAAATATTAAGGAAGTGTAGTTTTTTTGATATAAATGACATAACCCAGCTGTAATTGTCCGGTTAATTACGAGGACTGGATGAAATAAAGCCATATATTTGCAAGTTAAACCTTAAGATCTTCATAAACAAACCTATAGTCCACGGACAGGAAGTCAGACACAAAAATATTTTTGGTTTGGCCTTTCAAATACATTTTCTTTGAAAAAAAAATTATATGGATGATTAAAATGCTTAAAAAGAGAAATGAAGAGTCTTACTTAAATATTATAATCCTCCTAATTATCTTAATGTTGAAGTCTTAGCTGCAAGTTTAGCATTAATAAAAAAGAAAACGGTCAAAATGTCAACTTTCTTAGATTTAAAAAAAAAAAGTACCTGCTTTTGTTGACATAATTAGATGTAATGGGGATTTCAAACACTTACACTTCTTACAGTAAATGTCATTAAATCTTAACTGCTGCAGACAAACTGACAGAAGAAATAAAGATAACAAACTGCAGTTCCCCGTCAGGCCAGCAGGTGGTGCTACATGCTAACTGCTACATTAAAATGAGCTTCTCTGTGCGGGGATGCTGTCTGCTGGTCTGGTCAGATGTGACTCATAATCACATATTTCTGCTGCTACGTTTTATATTATATCTGTAAGATGTAGTGTCAGTAGGGCTGCTGCTTCTGGAAGTCTATTTCATCATGTTTTAGATCAAGTTTCTGAACACATTACCTCAAGGACTACACTACCCATAATGCTCAGCGGTGAGTGCTGTGGAGAAGGCTCCAGCCGAGGACTTTAAGTCAAAATTAAATCTTATTTTCCGAATGTGTTCTCATCCTTTAAGGTTCATATGTCTGCAGGTGTCTTTTGGATCTCTCTGCTGGTAGTTTCTCAACATGTGCTTATTTATTTATTGTATTCTTTTGTTGTTGTTTAGAATCAGTTCATGTTTGCTGGTTCGACTCCCGGATGAAAGGCCTATTTGTTGGACGTCATCTGACTTTTCCTGTAACAGAAAATGCTTAGCGCCCTTTATTACTTTGACAAAGTTCCTGAAAGATCACAACAACGATAAGAATCAGTTGACACCAAATGCTAACTACATGCTAATCAAACATCCAGTAAAACGGCCCGAGAAGAGACACAACAGTGACGTTTGGTGTCTTGTTTACAATATTTTCAATCTGCATTACCCTGAGTGATGCATTCACTGACATCAAGTGAAGAAAACAGACGATATGCAGCAAATCCCCAAATCTGAACAGAAAGTGGACATTTCACTCTGAGGTCGACGCTGTTTTGAGGAATGGCACAACTAACCTTGTTGATATAATAACGCCATGACTGTTAGTTGTAAATAATATAGATACATATTGATTATGGTGCTTTGAAATACTTTCTTTGTTCCCCATGGTCACAGAGACTTGAAGAGTACTTTTCTCTGTGGGATTTGAATACATTTCTGAGTGATAACATTTCGTTTTTTGTTTTGTACTTATGGTCTCATAACTATTTGTACATCAAAGTGACATCCCTACATATGCTGATAGCTTAGGTTGTTGTGAATACAAACATGTATATTAATTGATTGTGCAGCACAGGGTTCATGTTTTAAAAGCATTTCTACACAAAAAAAACCCAGGCGAGCCAAGCGTGTGAAAAAGGGGCTTAGACCTCAGAGGGTTAACGACAGAAACAAATCAAGTCGGCCTCACGGACGATTTGAAAACAATGCTTTCAGAAAAAAAAATATTTTCAAATCAAGATTTCTTTGTCTTTTGCTCATCGTTCAGCTTTTTAGTTTCCACATGTTTCAGAGTATTGTCTTTAGCTGTGATAAACACACATTACTTCCAGTCAAAGGTAGATGATAGCCTTATACTTCATCTTTGATGCAGTGGCTCTATATTTACTTTACAACATTTTCTTAAACCCTATTGTTTAAGATCTAGACGATAACTCAAAGTTTCCAAAGACAGCAAACCTGTATTTTTTTATTTTGAGGAACGTGTCTTAAACATTTTTTATAAATACTAGTGCAGCCTTAAGGACATAAGAGATGTAACAATAAAAAGCTCACCATTGCTCACTTTGTTAACCAGAACCTTTGAGATTTAAAAGCAGAGGAAGCTTTTATAAAAACCCTGAGGAGCTCCGAGTACAAGCCGCTCCTTCACCAGATGGAAAAGTGATTTGGTGCGAGTGACGCTCAGACGTGAAAGAGGAGATCCAGATCCTGCGTCTTTTTTCAATCGTTCCCACAAAGAGAAAGCACGATGAACCCAGCGACTTCTTTCCGAGGGCTCCATCGTTTTTGTCCGAACGTTTCAAGTATAAAATATTTAAACTTTAAGAAAAGCACCGTGACATCACTGCAGACTTTTCCGTTCTTTTAGACGGAAACTATAAAAAAAAAAGACAGAAAAGTTGATTTCTTTGAGCCAAACGTTCCCTCCTGGCTTCCTGGTTTCCTTCCTGGTTCCCTTCCTGGTTTCCTTCCTGGTTCCCTTCCTGGTATCCTTACTGGTTTCCTTCCTAGTTCCCTTCCTGGTTCCCTTCCTGGTATCCTGACTGGTTTCCTTCGTTGTCACCGTCCTGGTTTCCTTCCTAGTTCCCTTCCTGGTTCCCTTCCTGGTTCCCTTCCTGGTTTCCTTCCTGGTATCCTTACTGGTTTCCTTCGTTGTCACCGTCCTGGTTTCCTTCCTGGTTTCCTTCCTGGTTTCCTTCCTTGATTCCTGCCCGGTTTCCTTGTTTCCTTCCTGGTTTCCTCCGTTGATTCCTCCCCGGTTTCCTTGTTTCCTCCCTGGTTTCCTCCCTGGTTTCCTCCCTTGTTTCTTCCCTAGTTGCCTCGCTCTCAGAGGTCGCTGTGGTGCATGTTGAGCTCCATGTTGAGCTCCATGTCTCCTCCGAACAGTTCCCGGTACAGCGGAGGAAAGTGAGTCCTCACGATGTCGGGGTAAACGGCTCTGAACGCCGACAAGTTCTCAGAGTGACGACTGCACAGCGAACGCAACGCTGACACCTTACATCTGAGCTGAGGAGAGGAGGCAAGGAGGCAAGGAGAGGTGAGAAGGTGATGGAAGAAGAGAAGAAACAAATGAGGAGTCAAGAGGAGGAAGGAAGAGAAGATGTGACAAGGAGAATAAAGAGGAATTAAGTAAGGAGAGGAGAGGAGAAAATAAAAGTAGGGAAGACAAGATAATGGAACAAGCGGAGGAAATGAGACAAGGTGAGAGGAAACAAAAAATGAGAGGAGACAAGGGGAGAGGAAACAAGAAATAAGAGGAGACAAGGGGAGAGGAAACAAGAAATAAGAGGAGACAAGGTGAGAGGAAACAAAAAATAAGAGGAGACAAGGGGAGAGGAAACAAGAAATAAGAGGAGACAAGGGGAGAGGAAACAAGCAAAGAGAGTAGACAAGGAGAGAGGAGAGGAGACAAGAGAAACAAGGATATGAGAGTTAGTTGTTACAAACATTAATGAAGGTCCTCACAGGTAAAGGATGTCATTAACGTGTGAATACTTTGTCGTGTACTTTTTTTATTGTTCGTATAACGCTTTGAAGATTAAAGGGAAATGTATGAGTTGTAGTTCAGTATCTCACCACCAGAGGGCAGTGTGAGGAAACTCTTCTTTAGTTTAATATTCCACTGTGTGTGTACCTTGCTCAGGGCTCCTTCCTCTCTCTTGTTTTTCTGCAACACGTGTTTCAGAGTGAGTTCCGTCTTCTGCTTCAGTGTTTCTCAGACACACACACACACACACACACACACACACACACACACACACACACACACACACACACACACACACACACACACACACACACACACACACATACTATCTCTCACACACTCACACACACACTCACACACACACACACACACACACACACACACACACACACACACAAACACACTATTGCTCACACACACACACACACACACAAACACACACATACACATACACATACACATACACATACACACACACACACACACACACACACACACACACACACACACACACACACACACACACACACACACACACACACACACACACACACACACACACACACACACACACAAACAAACAGACTCCTAACACACACACATTGTGCCACACTCCCAAGGCTAGAAAAAGTTGAATATTCTTATATTGATAACCCTGTAGTTGTATTACTTGTGTTATTGCCAATAGTGCCTTATAGCCATGGTCCAAGTGGCTGCTGGATAAAACAAATCTGTGTTGGTGATACATGAAGTTGTTTGTGATGTCCTCTATGAACACCAAAATAAATAGCACACTTTCTCCATTGAGATTAAAGTTCTCAAAGTGACAGTTAACTGAACTGCATGTTTTCATACTGTGAGGCTAAAATCATTTACAAAGAAGCCTAGTGACATGTTTTGGTGCATATAGGCTGGTAAAAAGAATCATTACTAAGTTTAAAGGAAAGTGATGACATTCGCCTGTCAGCAGGTGTGTGTGCGCTCCATGAAAAGCATGTGACCTTTTCACACAAATCCAACTCGCCACTTAAGGAGAAGTGAAAAGGGTGAAGAAATTGCAAGAGGAAGAAATATATTTCATTTAAAAATTACGAACTCCGTATCAATGGTGGCGGCGTAGCGACACCTGATTCTTAATAAACATGATTTCTTCAAAGGTATTCAGCAAATGGCTGCGCATTTACATTTCAAAAGGAGGAAAAATTGCTTTCATTTCCCTCACACAGAATCTCCCCGCCACCCCCCCCCAAACCCCTCTAAAGGTGACTTTTATATCTGAAAGTGTGTTTTTTAGGAGTTTATTTTTAAGTGGGTTTGTCGCTGAGTGATGTCACATCAGCATATGTCTCTGGAAATGTCCTTGGGAATCTTTGCAAAGCAGTACCACAAATTGATGTGTTTAACATCAATGAGCATTGTTCCAAAAGTTTATGGGGCGAGATTCAAAGAGAAGCATGACTACACGGTTTACGTTCTTTTTGAGGATTTCACAGCATTTAATGTTTCTTTTGAACGAGGAATATCAGCGTTTTCTTGATCAGACGGAGCATTCGACATTCGTATGCCAATCTGACACTCCATCTCCTGAACACATCTTCGCTGCCTGGTTTTCACTTCACTACATCTGTACTGATTACACGTGGGCTCCCCATGCCTTTGCCAACACTTGAATTCACAGCACACTTTCAAACAAGTGGCAACACGGGTTCCTGTGATTGCGTTAAGGTTGAAGGAGGTATTCAAAAAGAAAAGAAAAAAGGGAATACATTTAAAAGAGTAATTAATCATCTTAATCACATGGAAGCAAACCTCCACTTTGGTATTTGCCTCAAATGCCGTGAGCTGTTCATCAAAGCCAGCCATGTAGGTAATAACTTCCTCAGTGCTTTCGAACCCTTCCTAAATTTGCATTTAGATCGCAAGATGATCCCTAGCAAGCTCTTCATAATGTCCATTCATCCCTTTCTAAAGCTGCGGCCATGCAGTATGCTATGCTGCATGGATGCATTGAGTAATACAACACTCGGTATATCAATGTTGATTGATTTGTCTCTTTCTTGTGCGTCTTCAGTGACGTGCACCTTACCAGACAACACGGTACAACTCCTAGTGCTTTTATTGTTCATGATAAAAACATTTAGTTTGATTTCCACCAGTTCAGAGTGTTTACAGAGTAGAAGAACATACCAGAAGCAGAGTCAATCTGGAGGAATACAAGCTTGAGTAAACAGCAAGAGGCGGCAAGTGATTGTGCGCAGAGGGGTGAAAGAGCCTGATAAAAAAAACGCTTTTATGAATTAAATAATGACACGCTCACCATAAAGAGAAGCAAGCAGCTGCTTAGAGGGAGCAATCGACAGGGAAATCACCGCTTTTAATTTCATCTCCGCCAGTTAAACACATGCGCCTCACTTCCTCTTTTCTCCTCCCGCTCGCACACTGGGGATCCCGCTCTGCTGTAGGTCGTTGCAGAAGGTCACGTTCATGGGTCTGTGCCAGCTTACGCATAGCGCCGAGATGTTGTTTAAAAATAGTCTGTTTGTGAACAAGGAAGATAGTAGCAGAAGGTGGTGGTTTCTTTTGTTGTAATTTATGATAATACAGCTTCATCTTTAATGTTTCCATGCTTTAATATTCAAAACGGTCTTTGTTTCTCTCATACTGTCTGAAGCCAAAGCCCAGTCTGCTCGTATTGCGATGTGTTTCTATTCAAAAGAAACACATCGCCGGCTATATTTAATGTACAAATAAATAACAAACCGAAATGAGCTATTTACATGCAATGGAAAATTGTTCCTCAACAAATTCCATTCACTCCAGTTCAGAATTTGCATTTGATAGGATTATGATAAGATGATGAAACCAATCTTGTTCGTGTAGTCTGAGTCACCGTGGTCCTCAATGTGATTTAGCCACTTCATTTGCATAGGTTAATTTCAAACAGCACCTCAAATTAGGCTTGAAAGGATAATTACTTAATCTCCCTGCTCCTCTCCTCTTCGCCCCCCTTCTACCTCACTGCTGTATCTTTTTTTCCACCCAGGTTATATAAATGTATCTTCCTACATCTACTTTCTCTAGCATCTATTCATGCAAAGGCCAATCCAGTCTCTATCTCTCTTCTCCCTCCCTCATAATATTGGTTGGACATTTCTTTAATTCACTCCCACTCATGTACTCTCGAGCAAATTGCCTACACAAACCAGATAATTTTCCCAGTATACCTTCAAATGCAGTTTGACGGCACGAGGGCAACATTTCCATTCAGTGGTGAACATGATGAATATTTGCGCACAGGAGGCCAGCAGGCATGGCAACTTAGTTGCGGTCAGTGACAGTAATTATCTTTCTTTGAGCTACGCTCATGTAGCGTTCAAATACAATCTATTTTGAAGAGACTCATCGCATGTGGAATGAAAAGCAAAGCAGTCCTCATAGCCATTGGAGGATTATACAGCAGTCCCCAAAACCTCTTTTACAGGAGAGCAAGACCGCAAACTTTTTTTGTTGTCTCCATGTAGTCTTTATAGGGTTTTGTTGTTTCTCTTAGTGGTTACTTTGTGTCTCAGAGGTCATTTTGTGGTTTTATTTGGTCATTTGTGTCCCTTTGTAGTCATGTTGTAAGTGTTTTGGTCCTGACTGTCGTTTTGTGGGTCTTTTGTGTCCTTTGTGGTCATTTGCATCTCATTACTGTATATTCATTTTGTGTTTTTTTGGTTATTTATTTTCTCATTTCATTTCAAACCTTTATTTATCCATGTGTATCCCATTGAGATCATTGATCTCTTTTTCAAGGGAGACCTGCTCAAGTAGGTTCCACATGAAACATAAAAAACATAAACAGAACAACAAAAGGACATCTTACAGCATCATTACAGGG